GTGTGTGTGTGTGTGTGTGTGTGTGTGTGTGTGTTGGGTGGGGTAGGGGAGATGGAAGGGCAGAGAAGATATTTCAAAAAGCTACTGCCCCACAAGACTGTTCTACAAACCTAGAGGAATCACACACACACACACACACACACACACACACACACACGCAGAAAGAGAGAGAGAGAGAGAGAGAGAGAGCGCTTACACTCTTCACAGTGACTTAAGCCACACCAGACTTAGGAGGTGAGTAGGCAGGGGTGGGAGGAAGAATTGGTTCTTACTGCCAGTCAGATCAGGTTCCTAAAGAAGAAGTCTCTATTCTAATCTCAAAGCCCACCACTACAAGCAGTACCCACCTGGAGCACACTAGGGGCACACTGAACCTCAGTTTCCTCCCTAAATGGACCTCTCAGTTTCTTTTTGCTTTTTATTAAGTTTTATTTATTATTATGTATACAGGGTTCTTCCTGCAAGTTAGTCAGCTCTCATTATAGATGGTTGTGAGCCACCATGTGGTTGCTGGGAATTGAAGTTAGGACCAATGGAAGAGCAGTCTTAACCTCTGAGCCATCTCTCCAGTCCCCAGTTTCTACAATAAAGAATCTACAATAAAGCGCACAAATAGGAATGCACAAATCAGCGAATGGCCATAAACACTCAGGCATGAATCACCTTGACTTTGAAAAATTAAAAAGATGACCCAGAAATAAAGGCGGCTTAGTTCAAACCTGTACCGAGGTAAGGGCTTGCAGCTGTGCAGGCTGAGAACCGGGCTTCCAGAGTGCAGGATTCCACTTTGCAAGCTCATACCCCCAGCTGTGTCGTCGCCAGTAAGCCCATTGAGGGCGGAACTGTCCCTAACTCTTAACAAAGAATCTGACCCGTCGGGGATGGGGAGGGGAGGGCGAGGGAGGAAAGGGCGGGAGGGTGTAAGACCCAGGCGAAAGGACTCCCGGGCCCCAGTCCTCTTAGTCCATCACTACAGCAGAAATGGGTCCTGTAGAGAAACCGGGGCCCGCTGTTGGTTGCCAAAAGACAAACCTGCCACGCGCAGCTCCGTAGGGTGGGGCTGGGGGGCGGGCGCTTCGGTGGAGAACCGCCTGCAGAGGCGGGAAGGTTCGAGGACGGAGTCTGCTTACTTGTCCTTGGCTTCAGCGTTCGGAGTCTCGGAGGGGACTTCCTGGTCAACCGCTCCCAACTCTAGGACCATGGAAGAACGTAGTGTGAGTGAACACCGTTCATACCCCGCCTCTGTCCGGCTCTGTACGGGAGAGCCTGGATCATCGGGTCCCCCCAGCCGCAGACGCTTGGACGGTCACTGGACGGTCGCAGGCTGCGTGGGGAGAGCACCAACGAGCCCCTAGGGTCTGACCCAGGCAGCGCCGGGACTGGAAGGGCCAGCCAACCTGACCGCTACCACGTGGGAGAGGAGCCAGGCCAGCACCCTGCAGAGGTAGGAATCCGGGGTGCGGTGCCACGTGCCCTCCACTGGGAGAGCAGGCTGTGCTGGAGAGGCATCCCTGAGAGTGCTATGACCTCAAAAGCATGTTAGCTGTGTTGAAGGAACATTTCCCCTACCTGGACTGTAGCTACCAGATCAATAGCAGCGATGTTTTCTGAAAGAGCATTTTGAAAACGGGAAGAAGCATACAGGAGAAAGGGCGTTATTAAAAAAAAAAAAAAAAAAGATACAGTAAACTGCTAACGCCCAGGCGGAGAACTAATGCGGCTAGGGCTCTCAAATCCCGACCACGGTGACTACAGCCTTCCTGAGTCCCGGCTTGAGGCGCTGTAGAGTAGTTTCGCCCGTTGGAAAACGTGACTGAGATGAAATTGCCTGTATGCATGATGTGCCTGGCTTTGGTTTGCAAGGTTTATCCATATCGCTGCTTGCTGACAGGCAGTTCATTCAAACTACTTTAGAGTGTTTGATACGCCACAATTCGCCACTCCATTACTGATAGGCAAGTAGATGAGTTTATAGTTTTGGGCTGTTGTAACAAGTGCTGTAGGTCAGGCAGCGGTGGTGCACACTTTTGATCCCAGCACTCAGTAGGCAGAGGCAGGTGGATCTCTGTGAGTTCGAGGGCAGCCTGGTCTTTGTACAAAGTGAGTTCCAGAACAGCCAGGGCTGTTACACAGAGAAAACCTGTCTTGAAAACAATAAACAAAGAAACAAACAAAGAGCCAAAAAAAAAAGTGCTCCTGAAATCATTTATTTATTTAGACAGGGTTTTTCACTGTGTATCTCTGGTTGTTCTGGAATTCTTTGTGTAGACCAGGCTGGCCTTGAATTCACAGAGATCCACCTGTCTCTGCTTTCTGAGTGCTGAGATTAAAGCTGTTGTGCACCACTATGTCTGATTGAATAGAAATATTCTATGTGGGTGATGTCCAATATGGTTTTGGGGGCACGTGAGAATGTGATTAGGTGTGACTGAAGAATTGAATTTGAGATTTTCCAGCATTGCAATTAGAGGAATTTAAACTTAAAAACATTTCAGATGGCTAGGGTTACTGTGTTAGCATAATCCTGGTCCACCCTTGGTGACTTTAATGTACACTTGGTATATGCCTAGGGTTGTAATTTCAAGCTTTACAAGATGTTAACTGTTCAGTCGCAAACCCTGGGACAAATGACTAAGGTGCCTATTTAACATACCAAAGTAGACCTGGCAGCCAGCTTCTCCCGGCTTTCCAAAGTCCCTACCATGGTGATGGTGGTGGTGATCATAACTCTGGAGATTCTGGAAGGCTGAGAGATGTTAGGAGTACTCTACAACTGTAGTCAGGTCTGCACCTCCAACCCTCACCCCATCACTCCCAGCAGACTCTTCTTTAGGAATGGGATGATGGAGAACACATCAGGACTTTTCGGGGGCTAATACTTAGAGAGGTTCAGCCCTCACAGCTCTTGTTACTGTTTACAAGCCCCACCCCATTGATTGTTGAAATATCTCATCTAAAGAGACAGAAAGATTGCCTGGCAGGCTGAAGCCAGGGCAGAGAAACATGGTTTGGTTCTAGCTACAGTTTTAGTTCATGACTTGGCTCTGTCGTTCATCAACCAGTATTGACAATCCTTGGTACACCACTATCTTATGTTATAACACAAAGCCTGCCCTGGGGAGGTACCAGCAGAGAGACTTTCCACTATGTCTCTCTCTCTCTCTCTCTCTCTCTCTCTCTCTCTGTGTGTGTGTGTGTGAGAGAGAGAGAGAGAGAGAGACAGAGACAGAGACAGAGAGAGAGAAAGAGACCCTCCTATTCTCAGAAATTCTCAGAATTACCTTGTGAGTTATATGCCCTTTGTTGATACATGAAGAAACTGAGGGTCAGAGAGGTTAAGTCATTCCTCCAGGACCTACAGTGACTATGGCAACTACCCCATAGTGCTTTTTACTCATTGCCATGGAGAGCATTTCTGACATCTTCTGCCTCCTTTCCCATGCAAACAGCTTGACTATGGCAGAATTTGACTTCTAGATCAACTTAGATGCTCACTGCTAAACCTCCCTTTGGATGGACCTAGACTGACCACTGGCCACTTGCATGTTGGCAAATGAGCAAAGAGTCTGTTTGTGTGGTGTGAATGTAATTCTCTCTGTGTGTTGTGGGGTCTCTCAGACAGTCGTATGGGGAGAACTTCTATCCTGGGTAGAGAAGAGGTCCTCACGTCTTTTTAAATGTGTTCAGTATTCTGGTTTCTTTTAGAACACAAAAGTCTTTTCCTTCTCAAAGGGAACTGTTTTTGTGAAGAATGTCTTTGAAATAAGGAAAATCCAATACTTATTTGTAATTCTAGGGTTTCAAGTTATAAACATAACTGATTAAAGTTTTGTATATATACAAGATTCACCCAGTAGATCATATGTGTTTTCCATTCCCTGAGAAAAGGTACAAAAAGTCCCCTTGGATCATCCTGAGGGTGAGTTCTTGGGGAGAAATACAGATTAGTTCCCAGTCCACATAAAGTAACCAGAACTCACTCCCACCCCAGTGTCTGCTGGTGGATTCAGACTTGGCGTGGGTATGTCTTACTGTACCTGTCACACATGGTGTGCCACTCACAGAAGGGCTCAAAGGTCAAATGTGCTGTTAAGTTAGACGCAGTCCTGAGATTAGTTGTGATTTGTTATATATCCTAGATCTAGACAATTTCAGCTAGGAATTGCTAAAGACCACCTTTCCTCAGGTTCCAAATTCTGTCTGGTTCATCCGTCCAGCTTTCTCTCGGGTCTTAAACAGACAGCACACTGCAGACTATTTGGCGTGTGTTTGATGAAAGAATGCAGAACTGGAGACCTGACCCGGAGCAGTGGTTTCTGTCCCCCATTTCTGACTCCTGTAGGAGTCTCTCCTTCTTCCCTTATGCCCTGAAGAAGAGAGTGTCAAAGCTGAAAGGGATCAACTAACTCAATTTAGAAGGTGAGAAAATGGCCTGAGAGAGCCTCTCTCCCCGGGTCACTGGGCCTCTCTAAGGTGCAATTCAGTGTTTCCCCCATAGTCCACTTCTTCATTTCTAGTCTCCAGATTTCTGTTCTTTCTCCTGTCTTACTTTCTGAGGGAGAGACCTTGGACATTCTAGGTCAGTTTAGATCTCCCAACTCTGTACTGTGTATGTCCCCACTTTGTGTTCAATGCTGTACATGATACCTGTGTGACACACACCCTCACACATACACGCTGGGGTTGTGAGCATATAGATTAATGTGTGACTATCATGCTTGACTGTCTGGAATACACACAGCCTCCACCAGGAAGCTACCATTCAAAAATCTCTCTATGGGGGCTAGGCAGGGTGGTGGTGGCACATGCCTTTGATCCCAGCACTCCAGAGGCAGAGGCAAGTGGATCTCTGAGTTTGAGGCCAGGTTGGTTTATAAAGTGAGTTCCAAGACAGCCAAAGCTGTTACACAGAGAAGCCCTGTCTTGAAAACAAACAAACAAACAAACAAAAACAAAAAAATTCTATGGTGTGCGTGTATCTGTATGTGTGTTCAAATACACTTCTAAAAGGTTTTCTCTGGTCTAGAAACATGGTGGGTATTACCACAGTTCTATTTCTTAAAATGTCAGACCACATTCTAGAACAGAGGTTCACAACCTGTGGTTGGCAACCCCTTGGCAACAAATAAACCTTCCACAGGGGACACCTAAGACTCTTGGAAAGCACAGATATTTACATTGCAATTTATAACAATAGCAAAACTACAGTTATGAAATAGCAACAAGAATAATTTTATGGTTGGGGTTCCTACAAGATTTGAAACTGTATTAAAGGGTCACAGTGTTAGGAAGGTTCACAGCGACTCACAACCCTGAATCACAGCAGCTCTTTGCAGACGTGAAAACAGAGGCTCAGGGAGGCAACACAACTTACTCTAGGGCAGAGGCTATCACCAGAACCAGGAGATGGATGATTTCTCCAGAAGACACATGCCGACCATTCTGCCCATGTCCTCCTCAACAGTTGCCCTGGTGATCCTCTTAGGGAAGAACTGCACCCAGGTCTTGGCTCTATCAATGACATCACCTGTTCTGCATCCTGTGACTGACAGCTGACCCCTGCCAGTGCCCTCTAGTGGGTTCAAGGAGGGTCCCCAACACTTCCTGGTTGGTTTCAGAAGGTGTCAGCACCCTCTGGTGTTGGCCAGAGATCCAGATTGCAGCCCCCTTCCCCAGTCTCCCCAGACTTGACTGGGCTGTTCTTTAAGAAAGGCTCTTGGATTTGGGGTCCCACTTTAGCGACCAGAATAGGGTAGAAATGTGGTCACAGTCCCAATTCCTTTTTAGAGAGCAAGCAAAGTCATCTGACTTGAGTCTACAGCTGAGATCAAGTCTTAACTTTCTTAGTCCCCTGTTCCAAGACAGGTGCCCAGCCTGGAGTCATACTAAGTTCTGGAATTTATTATTCCATCTGACCTTGAGAAGATCTTGGGACTGGAGAAATGGCTCAGTGGTTAAGCACACTGGCTGTTCTTCCAGAGGACCCAAGTTCGATTCCCAGCACCTACATGACAGCTAACAGCTGTCTGTGGCTACAGTTCCAGGAGATCCAACACCTTCACAAAGACAAACATGCAGGCAAAACACCAACACACTTAAAATAAAAGTAAATAACTGAAAAAAGAGAGAAGGGCTCACACTCTCTAAGCAACAGTGCCCTCCTCTGACTGGAATAGAAACTTGGTCTACACCGCC